CTACTTCCTGAGAAGTCTTAACTCGCTCTCTCTCTGTTTCTTGCCCAACTGCTCCCTGAACCCCAAGCTCCAATCAGCAGGTATCCCACGGCCTCCTCGGTACCTCTCCTTGGATGTTAAATGGGCATCTTGAACCCAACAGGTCCAAAAACAGGAGACTTGATGGTCACCTGCCAAAACCTCCACCTCAGAAGTGACACTGCCAAATCCTTAGTTCCTGAAGCCAAAAGTCTAAGATGCATCCCTGATCTCTATCGTTCCCTCAACTCCCTTCTCACCAGCTCCAACCCCTAGCCTCATGGACTTCTCCCCAGCCCCAAGCTCCCAAACTAGGCCAGCACCATCTCCTCTCGCCTGCAACCCTGCAATCACCTCCTGGTTTCATTGCCCCCTTCCTCCCTGCCCATGGGCAGTCCCTCCCAGAAGCCAGAATTCGCTTCTTAAAACAGGTCAGAATCCAGCAGTCACCCACCCAACCCTCTCCAACCGAAGTGCGTGGTCCCACACTTGACGACCGCCCCACTCTCATTCCTGATGCCACAACGGCCTCCTTTCTGTTCTTCCCCAAACACCAAGTTCCTTCTACCCTGGGGTTCTGCTCACTCCTCCTAGCTGCTCTCCCCCTACATTCTTCCATGGCTGGCTCCTTCCTGACATCTGCATCTCAGGTGAAACATCACCTTCTCAGAAAAGCCCCCTCACTCTACCTCTCCCTGGGTTTTACCTCTTAGCAGAGAACCACTACCAGAAACTTCCATGCTCCTTCGCAGATTTACATATTCATCCCTGCCTCCCTCCTGTGAATGTTGTGACCAATGGGCCTGCCTACCTTGCTCACTGTGAACCCAGGGCCCAGCAGAGCCCCTAGCTGCAGCAAATGCCCAGCACATACCGAATGGCGAGGAGTGAGGGGCCAGATTCTGTTCTCAGTCTGCTGTGTGACCTTGGACAGGTCACTTCCCCTCTCTGGGCTTTAGTTTTCCAACTACCAATGAAAGAGACTATAGGCCTCCCAAGTCCCTTTGCCCAACATCTGACCCCTGGGAGCCTGGACGGACTAGCCTAGGCCCCAACACAGGTACATAGGACCTGCCTGAGAGGCCGGAGGAAGGGGTCACCTGCTTTCAGTGAGGCAGAGGGAGGAGTCGCCTGCTTTCAGTGACTACATGGTGTTGACTTTCCTTCTTCAGTGAGTGTTTATTTATTGAGCACATACAGCATGCCAGACCCTACTCCAGGCACTGGGAGCACGGGGAGGCCTTTGGAGATTCTAATAGGATTAAAGAAGCTTTGCAAAGAGGCCGTCTTTGATCTGGGCTAGGTAAATGATTATAAACATGGGCTGGTGCCTCTTCAAGAAAACTGAACCCAGGAAACAAGAATCATGGCAGCTCAAGTGTGTTGGGCACTTACTCTGTACCAGGGCCACCCTTGGGACCTACATCCATCACCTCACTGTCTTCACGATAACCCTGGCGAAGAAGTGCCACAAGGAACCCAGTGAGGAAACTGAGCCACAGGGAAGTGACCCGCCCAAGGTCACATAGTGAGTGTGGGTAAGCCAGGCTAGAATGGGGTCTGAGCTGCAAATTCATAAAAAGTCAGAATGAAGGGACGAGAGATGAGGAAGGCAAAGTTAGGGACCATTGCAGAGCTGAACAGGACCTGAGTTCCCAGAGTGTTGCTAAGCCCCCACCAGGTCTCGGTCCTAGCACTGCTCCCTGCTGGGCAGAACGAGCAACTCCAGGCACATCCACCCTTGGGTTGAGGAAGCAGAGACCACCCCAAGGGCTGCCACGTCTGCACGTCAGGCCAGTGGGGAGGGGGCGGCAGGAGCAAAGCAAGGCCTGCCCTGGAAGCTGGGAGGCCCGGGCCTGGTCCTGAGGAGGAGGGGCTGCCTGACTTCAGTGGTTGTAGCATCTCCTTTAGGAAGCAGGGACCCTGCAGGCTGGACCGCGCCCTGCAGAGGGGACTTCCTAGAGAAAGATGCCGGGAAGTGGAGAGATAGGAACCAGGCACTTGAGGACCCAGAGGGAGAATGAGCAAAGGCCCAGAGGTGAGACACAGAGATAGCCAAGAAGCTGGGCGGGGGCAGGGTTCACCAGGTGAGAGGCAGGGGGTTCCTGGAGAGAGGGAGATGGGAGAGGGGGACAAAGCAGTGGCTGCAGCACCCTCAGACACAGTGACTCCTGGAGTCCATGCAGGAGAACGCGACCTGGCACCCATTCTCCCCGTGGGGCCCAAGCCACAGGCTGCGACTACCTGGAGTGCTGCCCAGCTGTGGGGCAGGGAGGCCGGGTGTGTGCTGAAGGTGAGCATGGGGTCACCCCTCCCTGGTCCTCAGACCCTAGCTGGGTCAGCTGAGGAGGGGGCCCTCTCCCCTCCTCCCCACGAAAGCCTCACCTCACCAGCCCTGCCACGCCCAGCCAGCTCTCAGAGCTTGGGACTTTTGATGTTTACTTTGTTCTTTCCCCAGTTCAAAAGGAGCTCTGCAGCCCTGGCCCTCGCACCAAGCCCAGCCTTAATCTCCCATCCCTCCCGCTCCCAGCTGGCCAGTTAAGGCGGTTAAGACGCTGGATTAGGGCCGGCTTTACATAACAACGCGGGAGCTAAAGCCATCCTCTCCTGGGATGGCTAAAAGACTTCTTTTTATCTTCACGCCTCAGATGGCCTTTTTTCTCTCTTAAACAGCTCTCCAGCCCGCCAAGAGGCAATGAACTTGGCCAACAGGAAGACAAAGAAGAGATTCAGGACTCGGCTTTTTCTCCCTTGGCCAGTAGCACAGAGGGACCCCCCAGTCCCAGGTCCGGAGCAGACAGTTGGTTTTCTGTGGCCAGAACTCAGTAGCACCTGCTCTCACCAGACCTAGCCATGTGGTGGCCTGCCATTCACACCATATTGCCCACCCTGGGTTGGGCGGCCTGGGACCACAGGACCAAGGGTGCCAGAGGACCACAGATGGCCACTGGGTCCAGGGTCCCTCATGGGGTCTTAAGGGCCACATGGACAGGTCCAAATGCCCACCTGACTCAAACCAGAGCAGCTCTGCTCCTGCTGCCTTATTTATGGTTTTCACTTTTAAATACTGACATTAGTTTTTAAATTCATAAGGAATACACAATTATCTTTTTTGATTTTTTAAAAAAATATAATTTTAGAATTATTGATAATAGAGACAGGGTCTCGCTATGTTGCCCAGGCTGGTCTTGAACTTGTGAGCTCAAGCAATTCTCCAGCCTCAGCCTCCCAAAGTGCTGAGATTATAAGCATAAGTCACCATGCCCAACTATGTTCTTCTTATAAAAGTTTAACCATGAAATGCAGATAACACAGACTTAAGTCTCCTCCCATGTTTGGAAAGAGCTATGGTTATCATCTGTCTAGGCCTCTATCCACACAGTCATATGCATATGTGGTACCCTAAGAAACTCCTGAGGATGGTCTGGTGCCTTCTTTTACGTAAAAGATATCAGACTGTATGCACACACAAAGCTTTCTGTTCACAGGACTCCTCCCCCTTGATCTGGGGCCTGCTTACATTTGAACAAAGTTTGCTAGATACCTGGCTCTCCAGCCTGCCTCCAACTTCTAGGCAACTGAGTGAGTATCTTCAAACAGTGCTTCTCCGAGTGTAGTGTGCATGCAAGTCACCTGGGGAGCTTATTAAAATGCAGATCGGATTCAGCAGGCCTGGGATGGAGTGAAGATTCTATATTTATAACAGCTCTCAGGCCAGATGTGGCCACGGTCCTCAGGTCTGGCCCAGGCTCCCCTTAAGAACTTCCCAGAATGGTCTGCTCTCCTCTTGCGGCCCTTCGGACACCCACAGGCCTGGATCCCCCTCTGCAGACCCTTGCACCATGGCCCCCCAGCTCTCCAGCCAGCTGTCTGCCTGGTCTCAGCAGAGATGTCCTTCCTTACTCTCGTAAGGCAGCCCTCCATTTGGTGATTTCTTCCCGTTTCTGAATTTAAAATTTCCCATTCAGCAAACACTCTGCTTCACGCTGTCATCCGTTCCAGGCACCAATTCTGGGAGCCAAGCAGGGCAAAGGCCCTTGTTCCCATTCTATAGATGTGGAAACTGAGGCTCAGAAAGGTGGGGTGGCCTGCCCAAAGTCAAACCAGCACACCAGCAGCCAGCAGATCCTCTACTTGAGTATCCTGATTCTCTCTACAACACGGCACTTCACCATGAAGAAAGAAGGCAGCGGTTAAGTGCAGTGGCTCATGCCTGTAACCCCAGCACTTTGGGAGGCCGAGGTGGGAGGGCTGCTTGAGGCCAGAAGCTCAAGACCAGTCTGGGCAACATAGTGAGACCCCGTCTCTACAGAAAAATTTAAAAATTAGCTTGGCATGGTGGCGTGCAACTGTAGTCCTAGCGACTTGAGAGGCTGAGGTGAGAGGATCACTTGAGCCCAGGAGGTCAAGGCTGCAGTGAGCAATGATTACCTACTGCACTCCAGCCTGGGTGACAGAGCAAGACCCTGTCTCAAGAAAGGAAGGAGGACGACATAGGAGAGAGGTGAGAGGCTGGCTCTGTGTGTGTGTATGTGTGTGTGTGTGTGTGTGTGTGTGCACTCATGCGCCAAGGGAGTGACACGATGGAGGAAACGGAATAGGCACTGTGTGTAATACTTACTCCATGCCTAACACTGCCTGATCACACTTCACACACCACTCTGAGCAGCCACTCTTATTATCCCCAGAGGAGCAACAGAGTTTCAACAACCTGTCCGAGGTCCCCCAGCTAATCTGGTGCAGGGTCAGGACGTGGACCTAGGTGACCAAGCCCCCACTTGGGCTTGGACCTATGAAGTGCCACATCTGAGTCTTACTCCTCTCCTCCATCTCACCCTCTAGTCCACCCCCACCCAGAGTCACAAGGTCCCTGTTGTGCCCTCCGTCTGCAGATTTTCTGGAATATGCAGGGCACACAGCCAGCTGGACACCGGCTTCCCCCACTTGCTGCTGCTGAGAAGAGAGCAATGGACTCCGAGTACCTTCCAGCCGGAAGTCGTCCTCCTCTTCCTCGCTGAGCGTGTCTCTCAACACGTCGCCCACGAGCTCCTAGAAGACAAAGCAGAGGCATTGAGCAGGGGTTAGGGGGAGTCCAGTGCTGAGACATTAAAAGTGGCGCCTTGAAGACCCTGGGCTGATTCTTCTGATGGGAATTCAGGTCAACTGAGGCAGATCCTATCGCACCTGAAAAGTCAAGCACCAAGGTGGGTCCCTCCTGCCCTTAAAATAAACGCACACGTGTCAGCACAACATTCAGGCCCCTGCAGGCTATGGCTCCACCTGGTCTTCCATCATGCCTCCCATATTTCACCAACACACATGCTTTCCGGAAACCAGCCTGATTCCTTGCACTCACCCTGCCTGTTCCCCACCAGTGAGTTAAGGATATCTGGGATCTCATCCCAACTAACCTGACCAGGAGGTGTCAAGTTAGCGAGGGGAGTGTTGCTGGTCCACAAGCTGGGAAATTTCTAGGATATCAACAAAGGCCCCATCTGTCTGACCCACCCTAGCAGGATAACTCCAAATATGGAAGAAGCTAGACCATACCTTGTCAAACTGTCTTCTGTATTTATTGGTATTCTGCCAGAAGACTTCCATGATCAAAGAAGATTCTTTTAAACAAAGTTAAACAAGATCCCTTACAGCAGGACTTATCAGGACTTTTCCTATGGTTCTAAACACTGTGAATCTCCAAGTGCTGGCATATTTTGCATTCTCCAAACTTACTCAGACCATGGAGCTTCGTTTTTCAAAAGCATCACAAGATTCATGTCCCAAGAAACCCGCTTTAGGAAATACTCCTGTTATGGGAGGACAGACAAGGGTTTGGGGGGATGATAATGCTATGGTAGTGCTTCTCAAAACACAAAATGACAAGCAATAAAAAAGCCCAAACTCAGCAGCTGTCACCAACTTCTCTTTGTAAAAATAAAAGAGAGAGAGAGAAAAAAACCCAACCCTTTCCTTGGGAGAAAAAAAAAAAAATCTGCACCTCAGATGATGCTTAAAAAAAAAGCCAGTCCTCATCTTGATGAACAAAAGGAAAACACGGCTTTGTATTGCTGATCTCATCAACTGGACACAGCTGGAGGTAAGCCTCTTGCTTTTTTTTTGTTTTTTGTTTTAAAGACAAACAGCTAACATTTTGTGGCTATTCTCTTTCTTCTTTCAAATCTTTCTAGGGCATTACACACTCTTTCTTAAAAGCTGTTAAAATGTGGCCATTCAGACTCTGGTGTCCCATTTACTTCAAAACCAGGCTACTTTATTCCTCGAGTCAGGATGGCTTCCCTCTCCTCCTCCGCCAATTATTATAATCATCGAACATTTCCTGGGCTTGTAAACTGGCTGTTTGTGTTAACAGAGCCCGAGTTGACAGGGGAGCTGGGAGACGATGACAGGAAAGGGATGCACACAGGTGGCATCATTAGATGGCTGGGACGCCCCAGCAGCCAATTAAAGCCCATCCTTCATGCAGGAGAAAGACGGGTGCCGCCGTCCCCTGAAAGGCTGGTAGGCAGAGCTTCCTCGAGGGAACAGGCAACGGTCTTCAAGAGCATCTGTGCACCTCTTCACGCTGAGGTCTTCTGCAGAGGGGGGCTCTGCGCCTGCCACCCTGACTGCACCGCAGCCGGGTGACAGCATCAATGAGACGTCTGAGTACTCGTGTCTTTTTACTGGCACACTTGGAAGAGTTTAAAGACTCCAGACATCGCCACCAACAAGGCAACCGTGTGGGACCCTATAACGATGACCACGTGTGCTCAAGGCACCCCGGTCATCACCATTGACAGCTTCAGCACTCCCTGTTCAGAGGACCAAGCTCTCTGACACACCCAGAAAGCAGAGTTCTGGCAAGTTCCGGGATAGGCCTCTCACCACTCAACAGCACCCTGCTCTGAAGAACACTGGAAAGCTCCCTGGAGCCATGGTCCATGGACGCACTGTGCTGTGCCAATGCTCAACTTTGCAAAAATTCTCTCTCCCCGGCCGGGCGCAGTGGCTCACGTCTGTAATCCCAGCACTTTGGGAGGCCGAGGCAGGTGGATCACGAGGTCAGGCAACCTGGCCAACATGGTGAAACCCCGTCTCTACTAAAAATACAAAAAATTAGGCGGGCGTGGTGGCAGACGCCTGTAATCCAACTACTTGGGAGGCTGAGGCAGAAGAATCGTCTGAACCTGGGAGGTGGAGGCTACAGTGAGCTGACATGCCACTGCACTCCAGCCTGGGTGACAGTGTGAGACTCCGTCTCAAAAAAAAAAAAAAAAAAAAAAGGGCATCCCCTCCGCTGAGCCACACAGCCAGGGTCTGCGGTGTGCAGTGTGCATGCTCCTAGAGCTTTGAGTCTCTAGGCCAGAAGCCATGTGGGATGTGGAGCCAAACACAGGATCACATCCTGGCTGTACCGCCTGCCTCGCCTTTGACCTCAGTCTACATATTTGTAAAATGGGCACAGTCATCAACCACAATAATAACCAAACAGCTGACACTTACTGTGCATTTTCCACGTGTCAGGCACCATGCTAGACACTTTATATATACAGTCATTCCTCGGTACCTGCGGGCAACTGGTTCCAAAACTCCCTGAGGCTACCAAAATCTGTAGATGCTCAAGTCCCATATATAAATGGTGTAGTATTTGCATATAACCTACAAACATCCTCCCCTATACTTTAAATAACCTCTAGATTACTTACAATACCTAACAGAGTGTAAATGCTATGGAAATTGTTGTTATACTGTATTGCTTAGGGAATAAGGACAAGAAAAGTCTGTATGTGTTCAGTACGGATGCTTTTTTGTTTCCAAATATTTCCTATCTATGGTTGGCTGAATCCATAAATACAGACCCCATGGATATGGAGGGCCAACTGTGTACACGTGTATTTATTAACCCTCTGAATCATCACAACAGCCCTGGTCTTTCCATCTCTCAAGAAATAGATGATCATTAAAATGATTTGCAAACTGTAAAGTGAGAGGTATAATCGTTACCGTTATTATCTACAAAGAAAGTGGCCTCAACCCTGAAGGACCGTATGAGACCAGAAACAGTGCTGATGACAGTCACCCATCATTTACCAAGTGCTCACAGTGTGCGAGGTACTGACCAATGGGATCCTCACAGGAGGCTCCGGAGAATGGCCTCCCCACAGCCCTGCATCTAAGTGGCTAAGAGGCTCCAAGAGACTGCGACCCCCTCTGGATCACCTGCCAGCAAGGGGCGGAGTGGGGACTCAAGCCAGCTCTTTCAGGTGCCTCAGCCCGGGCTCCTACTCATGCAACCAGGGCTCCTGTGGGCATGGGAGCAGAGGTAGCCAGGAGTCCTGGCACCTACCAGGGACCAAGGATCACACCTAAAGGAGTGCAAGAAAAATAGTCCAGCCAGCAGCTCCAGTGGGTGAGTGGTCAATGGCTCCCATCTGCCTAGCAAGACTCAAAGCTCCCCTGCTGCTCCCCACAACTTGAGGACTTAGCCCTGCCCTCAAGCTGAGCCCTGGCTGGCAGCCTCACATGTCAGGGCCAGGGCCAGGCCCTTGGCACCACCCTTCGGGAAGGCAGCTGTTGCCGGGAGACACACTCTGACCTTCGACGGCGCCACTGGGAGCCCCCGTGCAGAGGGCATGGAACTGGAGGTGGTCAGACCTTGGTTCAAATCTCAGCTCTGCCTCACATGTGCTGTGCCACCTGGGGGAAGGAACTTTATCTCTAGTGCACCTCAGTCTCCCCATTCGTAAACAGGGGCAACAGCAATCAGGATATCTGAGGGGGGCAGTGTGAGAAGTGAGGAAGTCACTGCGTGTGAAGCGCTTAGCAGGGCAGCTGAAAGTGGAAATGGGGTTCATCAGGTCAGTAGTTACTGCTTATTACTCTTGCTATTGTTATCATATGGTGGCCAGAACACTGCTGGGACGAGCCAAGAGACTCGCCAGACCCCAGGTGCCCTCACAGACACCTGGAAACATGCCCCATCCTGCCCAGCACACGGTTTTCAGGGGGCTGCATTTCCCCCTCGTGGCAATCCTTTCAGGTATTCCAAAGGACTGCCATGACTACCCTGCTTTACAGATGAGACAACTGAGGCACAGAAAGGTCAAGTGACTTGCCCAAGGTCACACAGCTAGTAAGTGCCAGTGCCAGTTCCCAAGCCCACACCCTTCACCACTGCACCTGGGAAACCCACATGTGGGGCTTGGCTGCAGCGGCCACCCTCCTCCACTTCTTTTGTCTACTTAGTTGTCACTCTGCCTGTGGTCCCAGGCCCCTCCCCTCTAGCCTCCAGGACAGTGGGCCTCAGCCTCTTCTGCAAGTTCTGATCAAAGACCTTCCTGGGTCTCCAGAGCCCCTGCTCCACCAGACCTGGGGCCAGGCTGCTCCTGCCCAGTGGCCTGGCTTGGTGGCCTCTCAGGCCCAGATGTGCCATGTTCCTAAGTCCCAGTGGTGCGCCATCAGCTGGCCCTAAAGCCCCTCCTCTGCCCCACACTGGGCCCCAGGAAGAGAGGCCAGCTCCTCCGGGCACAGGGTGTGCGGCCAGCACCAGTCCAGAGCCCAGAATCCAGGCACGATACCTTATAAGGCCTCCGGGAATGGGAAAACCACATCAAAGCAGCCTTGGGGAGCGAGCTGGAGTTTGGTTGGGGTTTTTCCTCTGTCTTTGAGACTTCCTACTCCTGAATGTAAGATCTTCCCCCACCGCCTGCCCCAGCAGTGCTTTGTCAATCTTTCTGTTCTCTAAGAGCTAACAGATGTTGGTGCCACGGGTTTCAAAGCAAACTCCCGGTGCCCACAGAACACGGCACAACTCACAGATTCCAAGAATGTACAGGGTTGGGACGTGCCGGGGAAAGAGGAGGGGGGCAGGGCCCAGGCCACCCTGTAACCCTTAGATCCAAGCAGCCTACCCTGGAGCTGCCCCAGGAAATTCCTGGCAAGCTCTCTCTTCCCAGTACGCTGAGGCCGCAGCCCGGCCAGGCGCTCTCCAGGCCTTGCTGAGAGCAAGCTCTTGCCTTCCTCTTGTCCCCTCTCAGGAGGCAGGACAGGGA